AAAGTGCCATTGTAAAGAAGCCATTCTGAACGTAATGCTAGAATTCCTTTCAGACGTGTCTCGGTTCGTTTAGTTCAGTTGAACGAAAGCCATTAAAACTTAAACACAACAAAATTTCACAACGTAACTCGAGGTAGCCAGGTAGAGGACATAAAATGTTACCGCATTCATTGTGGACGCGCCTGTTGTCCCTCCAGTCCCCGCATCGCGCGACATGTGGGCTCCATCGAGCAAAACGATCGAAATAAGAATTAAAATAAGAAAAAAAAAACGGAGAGTTGAAGCAAAAACGAGACGAAATGGAACGAGTGAGTCTGAGTGAACGAAGCGGTTTTTGTTTCGGCTCGTTACATCGCTGCCTGCACTGTGGATTGCCAAGTAAATTACGATGTATGCGTGCAATTTTAGTGTTTATTAACTACTGAATGATAATTCTATGTTGGCGACATAAATTGCCAAGCTATTATCCGAGATACGAATCGTAAATAAACGTACAGATTGCCCTGGATATAACGTGTGTGCGTTGTAGCACTGTGTGTTTACTATCAATAATGGTGTGTGAATTTTTGTCAGTACCTAATAATAGAGTCTTAGTAAGTATTCTGAATAGTAGAATAATTTTAGAATTTAACTTGTTATATGACATTTATATTAGGAAAGTTTTAAAGGATCATGACCAAGCTAAAAGATAGCTAAGATATTATGATATAAGTATGTTACAAAAATTATATTTGTAACATACTCATATCAGAATAATAATGATATAGTTATCAGAAAAAAAATATAAAAATGATTAAGTTTGGTACTCGGTAAATACTTTAGTATCTATGATTACACATTTTCAGAAAATGTTAATTTCAAGCTTTATCTATATTTAATTTTTCATTGTCATTGTCATTACTATAATAGTTTTATCACGTATCTCTCACTGTTACCAGACCACTAGTAAAGTAAAAATAGAGCAGTCTTAGCGTGCAGTCTACTACAAACTTGGCGTGTTTCAATGAAATATAAAACAGACAATGCTTAATTGGTATCAGTTAACGAATACGCGCGAGGCTACAGGTTCCTCACTGATTAATATCTCAGCAGTACCGCAGTACTCAAGCACGCAACACCAGGCTTTAATATAAAAACTTATATGAACATGGAATGCATTGAATAAACATAAAACCAAAAAACCCTGCCTGCGCGCCTTACGAGCGTAATACGGGGGCTTTATAAAGAAAAATGTTTTAAACATAAACTTTTTGTTCCAAATAAGTACGTACCCGCGGTTCGCAATATGCCATTGTGAGCTGTTTATATATGCCTACAATGGATTAATTAACAGCCGTCGAGTTTCTTTTTATTTTTTATTATGTGCCAGTTACTTTTAATAATTTGCTCATTCTCAAGAGTTAAATGTCAATCTTATGAACGACGGATATGGTAATTATGTAAATGCGTGTGCGTTGTGTTAGTCACGCAGTCTAATATTCATTTGCAAATTGAAATAATGAAAGGGATTATGTATTTTTTAACCCCGAACTAAAAGAGAGGTGTTATAAATTTAACGTGCCTGTATATCTATGTATCTGTCTGTGGTATTGTAGCATCTAAATGAATCGACATATTATTACGCAGTTTTTGTTTGAATATTTATTACGTGATCGAGACGATTCTTGGCTATAATTTAAAAAGATCGGTCATTAGTATAATTTTGCTTTTTAATTTTATTTTGTCCTTAGGGTTACTTATAATTTGTAATTTGATTACTTAATTATGTTATTTAAATCCATGTTTGCTTATGAATTGTTAATATATAATAATGGTTTCAACACGGTAGATTTATAAACAAACAAAAATCTTTAAAAAATTTCACATTGAAAGTTAATATATATTAGCGTATAATACGTAATAAATACTAGTAACGTAGTACGTAACATTAGTAAGATATCTAATAGTTGTGCTAAATATAGTATGTAATGGTCTAATAAGATCTTTTGGCTCTTCAGTATACACTGGCTATATTTTTTATTGTGTACACAATACCTGTGGAAGATTACCTGGATAATGTAATACCAATTAGTTTATCGTGCCTATTACATTACATTTGATATATAGTAAATAAAAATCTGTGTGACTCCAAAATGCACTCGTCATCTTAAATATTTGATAATGTAATAAGCCTCTAAGCCAACGTCAATGAAAGTCTTTGTAAGTTAGATCTTATTACGTCGCCGTACGTGGAGAACTATGCTTAAATAAATTTGTACTAGTTTCTAGATTATTTTATACTAGCTCTGCCTGAGACTTCGTCCGCGTGGAATAGACGACTAGTGACGAGTTTCCATATAGACTTTCATCCCCTATTTTTGATTAACTCTTTAAAGATATTTTTTTTTAATTGTCTTTATAATATCATATTTATTTATGTTTAATCAAGAGGCTAAAGAATAAATTTCAAGATCCTATATGTAGATTTAAAAAGAAGATACTTCCATACAACCATTCATCTCCCCTTTCAACCCTTTAGACCTTTTTTGCATTAAAAAGTCAAAATTTTATTTAAATCGGTTCAGTAGTTTTGGTGTGAAATCGCGACAGACAGACAGAGTTATTTTCTCATTTATAATATTAGTAAGAATAAGGATTTACAGTTCAGGTATTTTTCGTTTTTTGTGATAATTAAGTATTGGAAGATAATTTTCCTGTCGATTTATCATGTCTATTATTGTTAGACAAATATGTTTTTATACTACATATGTGCAAAAGTAAATAAGTCACATGCGAACTATGTGGCTACCTTTATAAATAGGCAAGTAAAGTCAATAACAAAATTAGTAGGTAGTAGGTACCAAATATAGTTAAGTTGCGTACATTGTAAAGAAAGATTAGATAATCAGATAACTACTTTACTTTTTTTGTATTGTTTCAGGTATTTTCTAATAAATATTTTTGTCTATGATAAGGATGTATGATACTGGTCAACTTGTTAATAAATATCTTCATTTCTTAAGCATCTATTCAATTAATGTATTCTTTGAATTTAAACAATAAACAATAAGGTAAGTTGTTCATAGGTATATACGAATAATTGGCTTCGGCATCTTCTGTTTCGGCATTTATTTTAGAACTGTGAGTAGATTATTATTCATAAGTTGAAGTTTTTGTAGTTGAAGGTATAATTGAAAAGAATGTAAATGTGACAGATTTGAAATATATAACGAAAAAAAATATAAATATTACAAATATGAAAAAATAGTAAGGTGAAGTTGATGGCAATCGACTCCAACCATAGATAGTGTTGACCTGAAAATTGTTGTAGGAGTCAATGGAGGCTGGTGATTCAGGATTGTATTATATAATAGACGACGAAGATGCCTATCATCAGCTGTGGAATGTAAATGGATGTAATGATTAAAGGTTACGTATTATAAATTGATATAAACGCTTCCATTCAATTTTATTTATGTAATTACAACTCGATCACGCAATAATCTGCATGTAGGTAACACAGTGTCACCTCAACACGAATAAATTAATTTATTATTAAAAATTAAATTCGTCGTGCTTCACAGTGGATTGGTATTTTTATTTTACATCAACAAACGCCTATTACTGTGGTAATCTTTGAAAAAACAGAACCCAATTTTCCCTTTCTTATTTTTTGCTATATTTGGTTCAGTACCTGTTTATAAATCGGATAGACATGCCCCATCTCAGCGGATAAAAGCCAATGAAATAGGACGCATAAAAGGTTCGTGGCCGTGGATCATGATCCGAGGATATATGGGTTCCTAGTACCTCTTATCTACAAATGAAAGTGAAAAATTATGCGTGTATATAATTTTTTTTAATAATAAACAAGTTGATGCCTTATTGATGGCAAATGGTACCCGTGGCCTATATACGTGAACTGTATTGTAGACATGTTATTATATCTCCAATACTTATTACGTTGCCTGTCGGAGGAGAATAAGATATCATGCTTCTTATTCTGGAATGTCACTGCTGTATCTCACCCTTCAACCGAAACTGCTTACAAAGTAATCTAAAATAGGTGAGAAGATAACTTATTACGTAGTTTAGGTACCTCTGTAAAACTGTCTGTCTAGTGTATAGTCTAGTGTGTGTGTACGAACTTAATACAATTATCGCAGTACAAGTTAGTAAATAGATTGTACACGGACGCGAGAAGCCATTTAGGTTCGTGAACTTGCCCGATCAGAAGCCGACGAACAGGTCATATGATATACTCACCTACTTATCTGTATGATCTCTTTATGAGCCTTATAAGTTATGACAATCTTGAAATTGAAAATTGACATGAGCCGATTTTGTTTATTATTGACAAATGAAATTACTTAATTTTATATTAGGTATAATTAGGACTTAGTTTAATATTAGGTACTTATTACAGTGCTTAATAAGTATTATCAGATATATATACCTATAGGTACTACAATAACATAAGTTTAAGGAGATTACAAATTATTTATTTATTATTATTTGATTTGTTAACACATTTTAAATATATTAAAAACAAAACTAAATAATTAATAGTGTTGTTTTGGTTGTATTTGCGTGATGTTATGGTATAATACAAATTTACATTTTATGTCTGTAGAAATACAATAAAATTGTCCTTATAAAACTAAACCACATGTCCAATATTATGAAATAAATAAATGCATTTACCAAATAATAAAAGGAGGATTACGGAAGTTGTGCATCATCAATGCGAGGAAATTAGAATGATGTTGTCGGTTCCTACAGATGCCCCAACCGACCGAAATCGCACAACTCGTGACACCGACACCCCATTCCCTCCCCTAAGAAAATCCCCAAATAATACGTATCTATTAGAGCGTATATCTCCGATTCGTCTAAAGTATTCCTCAAACATGAAGATAGTCGACGAAAAATTCGAGTGGAGAAAATATGTATGGTGGTAGGCAACGGTATGCGAGCGAGGGGTCGGATACGAGTAGATGGGGTGTGGGGAGCGCGCTCTCCCCACCGCCGCGCGCGTCAGTTCGCCTCTAGCATTCAAACACGTCGGGTGTATGTCATATCTTTTGTAAATCGCGAGTGACTGACGGTGCGGAGTCGTGTATTACACTAGTGTTGTTGTTGTGTTAAGTGGAGTGTGTGCTGTGTCCTGTTTCATTAAGTGTTGCTGACCATGAGCGCGTGTGTTTGACGTGGGAATGTATCCAAGCGCGGGCGCTATGAACGCCGCCGCCGCCGCCGCTGCTGTGGCGGCCGCTAGGCATCCGGTGAGCACATGCACCATTTATCTATATATCCATACATATAATATAAATTTAAATAATTGCTGTCTGTACATATTTAACGGACTTTAACAACGCAACAGGACCCAAAACAATTATTGTTACAATTTTGTCTACTTGTAAAGCTCTAATCTCGGAAACAGCATAACGAAGTTGCTAATTTCATTAATATATTGTGGCAAACTTCACTTAAAAAGTTGTAAAGAAAATACATTTACACTACACAATTGTTACACCAGAAGTGAGAAATTTGACACTAATTCTTTAATTGTCACAATTGACATTGAAACAACAACTATTTAGGTTAGCTTGAATGAAATCGTTGAATATCTATGACAATGAATTACCATAAATTAACGTCTGTCTTAGAATCAGACAAAGAAAGTGTCGGCATTAATGTTTAAATGGTGTGGTAATACTATTACTTTGAAAGCCATAATATTTTATATAACTGTTGTGTTGCATGGTATTTTTTTTATGAACGTTAAGCGTCGTCCTGATTTCGTCTCCCGCGGTGGGGGGCGCCGGGTGCGGCGAAACCTGGACAATTGTCGCATAGTTACTCATAAAATTCTCCAAGACCAATCTCTTACGCATTACTACACTAAGCCATTACAATACTTTAGTATAAACTTTCAGTAGAAAGGGAATATTCAGTACGCATACAAAACTGACCATGTGTCACCTTTCCTACGAAGTTATAATGTGTTTGTTGCAAATTCAACATTGCTGTGCCGTTTAAAGAGTGTATTTTTATTTAATGTTATCTGTAAAGGGAGTACAACCGCAAACCGCAGCGCATCTGTCATTGCGTTACGGCAGTTCGCCACTGAGAGTACTAACCACTTACTTTTATATAATTACTAGTTTTTAACCGCGGCTTCGGTCGCGTTAATGTTGAATTTGTCAGCCTCTATATTATCTTTACAACCGCATTTCATCCTATTTTAAGAATAGTTTGAAAAACTTTAATAGATTTTAATTTAGTTTAGAGTTTAATTTAGAGCATTATCTGTATTGCTCTTAAATTCATCTCCGCTCTTTTTTAGCTTCTAATAATACTTAATGTCTATTTCTACAACAAAATTAATCGATTCAGCAACAAACCAACAACAAGATAAAAAACTCACTTTTGCTTTTATAGTATTAGTACTATCCTATACATACCTTCCATGTTTTCTATCAAGTTTTATTTAAGTACAACTGATATACAGTCAACCCTCCTATAACGCGGTGAGTGCGTACCGCGTTGTATGGAAACCGCGCTATAAGAAACTCGGATTTAACCATACAAACCAGGCTAATTCGTAGCGCGTTCTATGGAAACCGTCTACCGCGTTGTATGGAAACCGCGCTATAAGAGACTCGGAATAAGTACAAATCACATCATTCGTACCGCGTTATATGGAGACCAATAAATACAAAAGACAAGATAAATTATAAATTATTTTTATTGAATTGAAGAGTATGAACTCTTCAATTCAATAAAAATAAGGAAATGATGAAAAAAATGAAACAAAAACTAAACTAAAAAACTGTTTTCCAACAAAAACAAAAGAAAGACTTTTGTAAAATGATGTAATCTTTCAACACTCATCCTCACTGTCAGATATGAGTCGCCTAACTCGCCTTCTTTTAATGGGCAAAATATCTTCCTCACTTGGTTGATCTTCACATTGGTTTTAAGCGGCTAAGACATAAGCAGAACGTAGTTTTTCTATAGGTCACGCGACAATGTAGTCAAAAGATCACATATATATCTTTCATGTTACAGTTTCGTTAGACACACACAAGCATGGCACGCTGTCGATGCGAAACTATTTAGTTAATAGAAGTGGAAGATAGCGCATGAGGAGAACCACCCACCCGTGAACCACGCTGATATAAACATATCCAGTTAAAACCATTCATTGGGTGCACGGAAAGAACTGATGGGACGTTGCTGAACGGAAACCGCGCTGTAAGAGTACCGCGTTATAGGAGGGCTGTCGCAATTTCAGCTCCGCGTTATATGGAAACCGCGTTCTGAGAGTACCGCGTTATAGGAGGGTTGACTGTACTCTTATAATCATACGGATGTCACAAACATTTATAAAATTATAACATTTTTGAAAGTATTTACGTAGCTAATTCGTATTTACTTAGGCATTTTATATCTAATTAATTAGTAGATCTGATAACGGTTAATGATAATTATTATAGTACCTACTTACTATAAATGATCACTTAATCACATAGCTAAGCTCTAATAGCAACGTCTAGCGTTCTCTAATATGATAAAAAAATGTGAATATTATAGGTATATAATAATAATATTAGTTTTGTAAAGCTGTGATAGTAATATCATATTTTAATAACCATATTACCACGGTACTCAGTCGGCGTAGCGGCGTCATTGAAATGTAATTAGTAGGTACCTACTAATTTGAATTAATAAGTATCACACTAAAATAACAATGTTTTGTTATCTACACCATCGATGGTACTAGTTGTTAACATATACACATAAATTCATAATTTATTTAATACTACTATAGCTGTGCTCACGGTTTTACCCGTGTGAAATTTATAGCGTATATGTTATTCTGACGTATAATCTATATTACTGTAAGTTTCATCAAAGTTCGTTCAGTAGTTTTTGCGTGAAAGAGTAACAAACATCCTTACAAACTTTCGCGTTTATTAAGATTTCTTTCTGTTAGTTTTTTTATGTGGACGATAATGGAAGTTTAATCTCGTCTGAGGAAATGGTACAGTCGCAAGGCTGCAGAGAAGGTTGTGAAAATAATCAGGTGACTTGGTACACCTTGGCAATCCGCTAGATGTTGATTTCAGGAGCAATTATTAGCATTGGAATTTGAACTATATGTACAAGTTAATAAGATAATAATGTAGATATATATAAAAAATAAAAAAAAAATATATATAAAGTTAATAATGTAGAGCTACGTATAGAAAATAATAAAAAGTTTTTTTTAAATTTTACTCTATACTTAGTATAAAAATATCAAGTAAGTATGTAAATTTTGTTTTTGTCTGTCAAAGTTATTTATTAGACTATAATGTTCTGTACATAAACATATTATGGAATTTTTAATAATAATTAATACAATGGGAACTATAAAAGTATATGGCCAGTACGTCAGCAACAAATATTAAAAACATTTTGTAATTCCTATATAGATTACAAGACAATTAAATCATAAATGGCGTACATCTATTTATTAACTTATTACCCCTTGCCGTTTTACCATCAGTCACGCGATTACCATAAAGTACCATTACCTTACGTAAGTACAAAAGGTATTCCTTGTTCCGAATCATAATGAGCGGTGTTGTACACAATAGTCACGATAATTGTCGACGTATTCCCACGCACACACACGTGTGTATACGTGAGTAACATTTTATTGTTGACTTTCTTAACCACTGCAAAGTGAACTCCCCTCTTTATATTTTCTTTTGAGCGGCAAAAGGTGGAATTACAATTTAGGGCTCTCTCACAGTAAACGATGAATTTGCAGGAAGTCGCATTACACACGTTCTTTGATGGATGCTTATTTTATTTCTCGGTGTACGTTTTGCAGTTTTATTTTATTATTTATTACTATATACCGGAATTACAGATTGCCTAAATTGTACTATTTACACGTACTTGTACTCATACTGTTGACAAATTTGATTTAGAACGAACAGCGTTATTTTCCAAAACACCATTAGGTAAGTACATTTCAAGTAATGGCTCTCGACAAATAATTACTTAAAACGAAATACCATAGTCGGCTATTCTAAAACGTTTGAACCAGAAACAGGAAGAATGTGACGATGGCGAGCATCTCACAATAATTTGTTCGTAGCGGTATCACCACCATTCAAATATTGACCGAGTAGGACGCGACACGGATTTTGAACAAACATACAAATAGGCATTCACGTCAACACCACCTCCCGTCCCGCCGCCCCTTCACCCCGCATACACTAGCACTCGTAAAAGCAAAGTGAGTCGCGTCGTAAAACATTCGTAAGGTCATGTGAAATACCTACCTGACCTAACTTTACATACTCATTTTTCTGTAATAAGAATTCAGAACTTAAATAAATATATAGAAGGATTTTTTAGGATTAATAGATAATTATGACCACATTGTGACAAAGTAACAATATGTTATGCCCCTCCGATTGATCCCGTCTTCCATTCAAACAAGGATTCAAATTACTAGGGTCTTCGTCGAGGTTGGAATCTTTAATGGTGCCCTAATAGTAACGTCGTATCCTATAGGTAGATGGCCCTCAGCCGCTCCATAAGTGTTTCTCCGTGGGTATTGTGTGCCCTCTGCACTCGTCCGAATTTCATGCAGTAAACCTAAAAACCAGCTTCGGCCAGTACATTAAATAGAAATAAAAAAGACCAAGAGACGAAAAATCTTATACCAAGTCGATGGCTAAAAACAAGCATGCTTTTCTTTTTTTATACTTCTGCTTTGATGTGACCTTATATTTTACGTTACTTGGCCTTTATTTACTCAGATATTGAATTTAATTACTGCACGATTTGTATGTGTATAGAAATGAATATTCAATTTTCATCCACATTAATATTAACAAATAAGAATGTCGGTTTATTTGTCGACTACTGAATGAGTATTTTAACAGTGTTTGTGGTCTTGCCACCCACGGATATTTAATTATATATCGCTACTGCATGGTTTATCAATTGTTTCAAATCTTATGACTAAATTAGGTTTAACAAATCCTAAATTGTTTTCAATTTCTGCATAAACTTTCGACTACAGTTACAACGATTGTACAACGAATCTGTACGACCGTTGTACAAGATCCTAGTTAGTGATATCGAAAAATACATTTTTTATATTGAGACAAGTAGTTTATTAGTGATCTAGTGACCAGCTTAACATGTATAATAGATACATTCAAAGATTTGTGTTATATGTCAGTTTAACTACATCCAAAAGAAAAAAGGTAAA